TCATTTGGCTCAGTTTGGTTTTCCAGCTCACAGTCACACTTTACTGCCATATTACCATGTAGATAGAGAGTGACAGATCTGTAGACAGGATAAATAAGATTTGCAATTAAATCCTCATTGAAAAAAATGCCAAAATTCATCAGCAGGACTCTTTGCAAAGAATTTCATCATTTTTTAACCAATTCTAATAAATGAGGTGACAGATGGCCCCAGATTCAATACAGGGTTGCACTGGCTCAGGGGGCTCTGCTTGTTCACGGGTAGCAGCTGAACTCCCTGGGAGGTGCCTTTTGTTTTAGTGGGTAACGCTTCATACTTGTGTGAGTGTGAGAGTGTGTGTTGTGTGTGTGTCCCTTTTTTTGTGTCGCACCCACGTAGTGGCTTGAAAATGATTCCTCACTAGGTTTTCTTTTTGTACCATTGGCAATGGTTTTGTCATCCACCAGTTCTTTGGGGAAAAGGCTTGCATAGCTTTTCCATAATGACCTTCTTATCTGTGCAGCCAGCAGCAACGTTGGCAATGATGGAAATTGGGTTTATAATTAAACTAGTGCTCCCTCTATTGGCTGGATGTCAAAGCCCCAAATCAAGGGCTTGCATAGCCAGGGGACGCATTGATTGTGGAAGAAAAAAAAGTGCTACAGTTGTCCTGCAAATGAAAATTAGGTCTCGAATAAGCACTTTAACTGAGTGCAGCCCAGGGACATTAAAAAAAAAAAAAAAAAAAAGGCAAACCAAAAAAAACCACCCAAAACAAAGAGATGTATAATTCTGACTCTTTGTAGAATATGATTTCTCCTTTTTTGAGTGTGCATGCCAAAACTCCTTCCCCTCCCTGTACATTCACATCAGTTGGAAATAATGTAGAGATTTTAAAGTTTACCTGGCAAAGAAGAGAAATAATTCAGACCTTTCACGTCCTAATGCTGATGAATATGCAATGAATATGAGAACTGAATTTATTCTATGTCACTTCAGGCTGTGCCCAAATTCAGCTCAGAAAGGTTTCAGAAACAAAACTCAGCAACTAGCTGGGCTTTCAAATAGCTCCATAGCTGCCAAATAATGTGGATAAATAATACATACAAATAAGGTTAAACAGGAAAAAAATGTACCTCATTCAAGTTGAGTAAGGCCTGCACATACAGTCCACTTTGCTTAGGTTTGAGGGTTCTACTGCCTCAGTGGTTTCCCTCCACAGTTACAGAAGAAGAATGAAGAACTTTACACCAACCAACTAAATAACACATCTGGAAACTGATGGAGTATTTTGGATCCCTGTGTTTATCTCACTCACACTGATGGAAGGTGAGTCAAAAGAGTGTAATGAAGTTTTGCCCTCTGTGTCCTATTATGACACAGTGACAGAGAGCCTCATTATTACCTTGTTCTGTTTACAAGGATGGGACTAGACTTTTGAAAAACTGTGATTAACCAGGCTTTCCACAGAATGCTGAATATCTTCACTAAATTACAAATCTTATGTTTCAGAAATAATGCTGTTCTCTATTTCAAGAAAGCCAGTATGTATCAGCTTTTTAATTAATTACTTACCTAGTGCTCTGTTGCAAGATAAATACATTTGGGGTTGTACTATTAGCAGACAACATTATCTTGTATGCAGCCCGTTAGGTTGTCAAGCACTGCTTGCATTAGAGGAGAGTGTTTCTACTTGTTTGGCACAATGGAGTTTAGGATATTTTGAACTTCATAAACCAAAGGGGAGGCAAGACAAACCAAACAAAAATGCCAAGATGTGCTTCAACTAAGCTAAGGAATTCCTTTAATCTTACCTCTCTGTAGGACACTGCCACCTGCAGAGGTGTTCCTTGGCAGGGTTCTGGCACTTGCTTCTCTCCAGAACCTCTGACCTGCCAACAGTGTGTTGCACCTCATTGGATCTTGCTGGACGTGAGCTACGTTCTCAGCTAAATCCATTCTTGAAGCTTGTTGACCCTGCTAGCTCACTAAAAAGATGTCCTTCCTTCTCTAAAGACTGTTACATTTTTTTCCCTTACTCCATATTTTTTTTCCATTTCTATCCTATTAAAACTATTTATCACATCAGTTTCAATCTCAGACTGTTTTGTACTTGCTCCCCTTATAAAACAAATTTTCCTTATTTGCTGCTGAAGCCATACATGCTGCCAGTCCCTACCCCTACCCTCACCACTGTCTTTGGTGTCAATTTTTTTCTCCGTTCCCCATTTGTTACCTCAAATACTGCTGAAATAATTTCTCACATTTCAGGTACCACAGGGAAGATCAATACCAATTAGGAGATCATATTGTAATAGAGATGTATTAAAATTTTTCATTCTTATAGGCCAATTTTATTCCCACTGAAGGGTAAAACAAGGCAACAATTTAGGGACAATTTCCTTTTCCTGAAAAGGGCTATATATCAAGTTAGCTAAGAGCTTAGCAGGGAATGCTGCATTTACCTACAGTGAAAATCGTATTCCTTCCCATCAAAACACTTGCTCTTAGTTACTTTTGGATATAGAATAGCACATTAACCTGACGTTGGTTATGAACTGAACGTAGAAAATAGCTAATACATGGCTTAAAACCCTGAAAACCATTGAGAAATTATTTTAATGAATACCTATAAGGCTTTTTGTTATCTTTATTGGAAAAATAATATAATCATAGTACTGTTTTCTTCCTTCTGCACAAATGCAAAAGTCCTGTTTACTTCCTTGGGGTGCAAATCCTTGGCACAGGATTTGACTCATATTTCTGTCAATATGGGCAGAGAAGACAAGATGCATAGTTACTAAGGCTTTAAGCTTGGGTATGATTTCAGAAAAGTGTCAAACTCTGCATCAAAATGCTCAGTCAGCTCCTCTTGAAAGATACTTGCCTTGTTTTCATTAGGGAAGTCATCTGTGGAGATTACATCAAAAAAAGGACAAGGAGACAGGTATGTCTTCCACCACCAGGAGGGGCCATAGCTGCAAACAAGAGCATGTCCTTGACTAGTACCACACCCCTGTCTTCCTACATCAAAACCAAAAACGACTTAATTTTTCTTTCCTCTCCTTTCCAAAACCCCAAACCCAATGAATATGCCTGCTCTCTCCCCTCAAACTCTCTTTAATGGAGAACCTAAAGCACCCCATACTATCCCTCTGCTACTAAGAGTGCCTCAGGATGCAGAGTAGAGTCATAGCACAGAATACGGACAGGGGATGCTGTTTACTGGAAATGAAAGAGGGGGGCTGGGCTGGGGGGTGAGCTTTTCCCAGCCTGGTAATAAAAGGTAACTGCGTCTCCACTGCTATCAGGAAGAGCTATTCTCTAAGGCAAATGGATTCCTGACAGTGTTTATTCTGGCAGTTTGAGTTTAAAATAATGATCTCAGACTTTAGTTAAGCATTTAACAAACAGCAAATTAAGATTTTCATTCTCAGAGAAATTACTGGAACAGACCTAATTTCTGGTCTGCCAATCAGACAGAGCAAAAACATTGAAGGAATAAATTGCTTTCTCCCAAACTCCTGCCTGCCTTCAGACAGGAAGACCTACCACTCCAGGAGAATTTGCTTCACCCATGTGTGTCCTCCAAGATGGGCACTATACTCCCAATAAAGGCCATTCTTTCGTAACATGCAGTACCAGTTGTACATGCAGCCATGTTTGCACTAGCCCAGCAGCCCCCTTTCCCTCTGCTCCTAAACTGGAGCTGACTCCTTCCTCTGGAACTTTGTTTTGGTGCCTTTTCCATCATCACTGCCCATGGCTACACCAAAATAACAGAACAGAGACTCAGTTTCTGGTTTACTAACAATTTGCATTCTCCCTCTTGAAAATCAGTTCTTTATCCCTTGTTTTTGTTTTGCTTGTTTCTTTTATTTTGTTTAGACAGCCCTGGTGGCAATTCAGTCAATTCACTTGTCTCTTTCCTCTCTCCTCAGAGCAATTCTTTCTTTTGTCTCCCCTTCTACCCCCTGCCACAGTAGCAATGTGTTGCTCTTCTCAAGTTATCAAAACATGTCCATGTCACAGATCTGGAACTCTGTTCTCCAAAAAAATGCTGCTAAATTTCAACTGAAAATGTGCAGTGGGCAAGGAAAGAGCCTGGGCTGCTGTGTCGGAAGGCTTGAAAGCCTCGCTACATTTTTGTTGCAGTTCATAAAGCTACTACCCTGGGAGGCTGGGAGGGCAGAGCTGGGATGAGGACAGAAGTTGATGAAGTCTGAGCCTTAGAAAAGTGCAGCATGTCTGGTGCTAGACCAGTCCATCTGGTGGTTCAGCTTCTTTATGGCTTGCTGTGAGACAATCATATGGCTCTATTCAGGCATGAAAAAAAGCAGAAGACAGAGAATCACTGCTGTGCTTCGGAACATAGTGCTGCCTGACAGTCTGAGCATCACCCCAACCTAGCAGGGCTAAAGGTAGAGGTCAGTGAGAGATGGGCAGCAAAACCTGAGTGGGGGTGAGAAAGCAATGTAATTTTCTTCACTGAGACACAAGATTCCCAATTGTCAGTTGGACAACTGTTTTCCCCCTGCAAATGACTATTAACAGTTGGGGAGAATTCTCATATAAAAAGAATATAAATGTTGATTCCCGCTTTGGCTGTGCTTGGCAACTCCATGTCTTCTGATTCCTTGTCAGGTCTCCTCTGCACAGGCTCCCTTTTGCCCCTTATAGAGACAGGGGCACGGGGTGTGATTGCCGTGCTCTCAGGGCCACTGATCGCCTCTTCATCGCTTCACCCATGACTTCATCAGTGTTCAAGCCTTGCAGGATCTTTGATTTGCCATGCAATTCTCCACAAATATGCAATAATCAAAAAATCCAACAAGCTTTGCAGAAGTTTCTAACCCCACTGCTCTGACACATCAAGGTTGCACAAGAAATAAATATACGCTAAAATGTCTGACTCATACCTGCTTCTCTCTGATTCAGTTTCCTTATCAATCTAATGCAACAGACTCTTTAAAGCACTCAGAAAGCATCTTTTCTTCCGTCTCTGGGGCTCTTTCTGCCTCCTTTTCTTCTTGGGCTGTTAAATAAACCTGTCCTCCAAAGAATAACAGAATGGTTTGGATTAGAAGTGACCTTAAATATCATCTGGTCTCACCCCCCCTGCAGTGGGTGGGGACACCTTTCACTAGACCAGGTTGTTCAAAGGCCCATCCAGCCTTGGCCTTGAGCACTTCCAGGGATGGGGTATCCACAGCTTCTTTGGGAAACTGTTCCAGTGTCTCACCATCTTCATGGCTTCCCAGTGGGCTCCTTTGTTCTTAGGAAGACTCGTTCAAATCCCCCACTGTGTTATGAGGCTATAAGTGGACTGACTTTTTTAAGCTGGCTACCATCTGACCAAGAATGATTCATTTTAAAAATAAGTTACCGAAATGTAACCTTTCTCCATAGTCAGCCCTCTTCTTTGTCTCTGAAATGTTCACAAGCTGAAGATGAAAACACACTGGAGAAGGTAAACAAGGCTCTGACTCAAAGCGTGAGTTGCATGACAGTTATATATAAATAATTATGCTATTAAGTTTGCAAGCAGTTCTGACTAAGAAACAAAACAGCAGGTATTACTAGAGCAATACTAGAGTAAGTAAATATAGAGCATTTTGTTTAAAAAAATAAATAGAATAAAATAATAATAATTAACCCCCAAAATTAATTATGTTTCAGCACTTTTCAATAGGAAAAAAAATATTAAAAATGTCCCAGCTATTCATTGTAGTGTTTTCTGTTGTTTATCAGTATTTGTTTTAATTTCTTTCAAATCACAGAATGGTTCCTATTTCTAGAAAAAAACCCTTAATTTCTTGGCAAATACTTCTTTTGCTGTTAAAGATGTCTGACACTGACAGTCTTGTTCAGTGAGTAATAGAACTAAAATAATTGTGATAGGGCTGAAGATGTGATCTTGCTTGCACATCTCAATTTTTTGTTAAATGCATACGCTGTTTTCCAAGCACTGATGTAAGGAGTAGAAATAGAAATACTCACAAAATGCTAGACTAACACTTCTAAAACCATCATTTCAGAGACAAGCCTTTTGGATTTTATATATAACTTTTAAACTCTGTTCATTCATCAATGACCTCCAGGAGTCTGTGTTTTTAAACCATGGAGGGATGGTAAAATATCATAGGCCTTAATACCATTCAAAGACTGGTGGGTATAATATGTTACAGAAATTGAAAAAAATTGAGAGCGAGAGAAGAAGAGAGAGAAATACAGCTAGGATCCTTGCCCAGTTTCGCACTGATTATGTGAAAGACCAAGAGCTCCTTTGGGTGCTGCCTTTGAGGTAAAGAAACAGTCAGTAACTGCCTGGTAACTATCTGGAGAATGGACCAGGACAGCACAAAAGGTGTCATCTTGCATCACGAAGGGAAGGATTTGTGTGTGATAAGGCCACTGAGAAGAGGGGCAGAAGAAAAACACACATCTAAATCTCATAGAAACCTCTCATGGTAGGGAGGAATGGACAAGTACATTCAAACCTCCTCTAAGTCAGCAATTAAGGAATCCACAGAGATGCATTTGTTTTCATTATAGTTCTATGTACACAGAGACTTTGCAAGGGTGGTGTCAAGGCGCAAATCAAGAGAAAGAAAGGAGTTTCTTCTGAATCTTGTTTCCCTGTTCCTGTCCTTTGCACAGTTTGAACCAGATTTCTCAGGGGGAAATTGTGCTCCACAGAAGAATGGTGCGCTCTCTTCCATCCCACATTTCTAAAACAACATGTTAGATGATGGGGATTAAAAGGGTTGAAACCCTGAAACTTTTCTATGTGTAAATACTCTTCAAAATCTAGAATCCAAGAAAGCACTGAAAGATATTTTTCTTTCTTATTTTTGTTCCTTCCAAGTGAGTTCTCTCATTAATAGACAAAGTATAAATAGCCTACACAGTTGGCTGTGGCAATTTTCAAAATATGATATAAATAAATTTAACTTCATAATCTCATGATAAGTATGACTGTATGAAGAAATAATAAATTATGCACTCTGTAAGGCATCTTCAGAGGCTGTTGAAATACTTTATTGCTGTAGAAAGATTCATACTATCTATTATGTGAGCAGAAAGGGGAAAATTCCTTTTCTTCTTCTTCTTCTTCTGTGCCCTACACAAACCATTTGCAACAGTCCTTTCTTAGGTAGCTCAACTTATTTTCTCTGTCCACACTGGGGATCGAACACTTTGAGTTTGGCCTGGAGAGGGTAGGGACAATTGTCAGGGACCAAATGTTGTTGGTTTCACATCTATGATGTCTCAGAACCACATGAGAGAGAAGAGTATGAAATATTCAATCTAAGACTGAAAAAGGGTGACTTGGGATTCATTTTAAAAAAGAGAGGTATAGAAGAAAACAAGGGGGAAAACTGGCAGGTTAGGAACAGAGAAGCAATGGGTATAGAGACAGGACGCAGGAGATGAAAAGTTGCAGAGAAGTCAGTCAATCTCCACCCAAGTTTTCCACATTTCATGGTATTTTTTTGTTCATTAGCAGAACTAAAACCTCAAACCCAAATGTGTACATCCTTGTGATTGTTTTATTCCACAGACACTACTGTGACTACTGTCTCCAGAGGTATGTTTGAACCGATATTAAGTAAGTTAATATCGGGTAACACTGTTTAATTGGGGCAGCAGAAACAGCACAGACAACAGAATGGCACAGACAACTAAGCATTTGCACGGATTTTCAGGCAAGATTTGCAGCTCATAAAGCCCATGTTGCTGTGAATGCCCTTCTGGCAGCTTCAAGCTACTTCTCATGAGCATCAGTAGGGGCAGCCCAGGCAGTCAGCCCTTAGGCTTAGCCCTGACACCACGGCAGAGCTTCTGACTCTTCTGAGTACAGTCACACAGGTCTGTAATGCAAACTGCAATGCTCTAGACCTCTTGTCCTCACCCAGCACGGCTAGTGAGTTAGGATTCTTTCATCCCTTACCAAAATTAACAGATTGCAGCGACCTCGGGGTTAGACTCTGCTGCAGTTTTCAGACAAATTCACAGGATTCTTGAGAGGTGGGCATGAAGGGGGCAAAGACTTCTCCTATTGAGATAAATGAGAGAAAATATCCTGATTTGATCAAGAGCTGTTATGATGGAAAGTCCCACAGGATGGACTGCTTCCCTACTGTGTTCATATCTACATAAAATGCATAAACATCCACAGACTACTTGCTATTGTATGATGTTACATTAACCATATTTCTAGATATATACATATATATACATATATATATATACAGAGAAAGAGAGAGATATATAAATATATACATTATGTACATGTTTCTTTCTCCTCAAAATGATTAGAACCAAGGAGTGGACAGATGAACAGCTGGTTCTTGATTAATCCAGGATACACGTGTGATACTTACAGGGAGAGAAAATAACACACAAAATATGCCAGAATTCTGACCTTTGTCAGTTTTGTAATATCTTCTGGGTCTTTTGGGATGCCTGGATGGAAGAAGCGTGGTGACAAAAGCCTTCTGTCATTTTTGTCTGGCTAACACGCTTTCGTTTGCTCATCTCCAAAAAGAGCTGAAGTTCATCCTTTTGCCTGCCCTGGAAGATTCTTACTCTACTTGGAGTGAATGTGACTGCCTCAGATTGGTTGAGTCAAATATCCCAGTAATTCAACCACCCATATGATCTACAAAGGACCCAGTGAACACATCTCATGTTTCTTTATAAAATTCTCCAGTTACACATTCCTTCACATCAAGTTCAATTCTGCCAGCAGCAGAGAGACCACAACTAAGCTCTACAGAGACAGAGCTGGGGTAAGAAACTGAACCAAAAACCCCAAACTCCTTTTGTGACCTTTCCTAAGTGGAAAGGATGGACTCCTACTGAATGGAAGTCCTAAAACTGCAGCAGCACTGCAGAAAAGCGCTGAAAAGCTCAGGCGTCCTGGAAAGCTGGACCGGGACGATTAAAGGAATGCAGAGGGGGTGACCTTGGCCCCCTCTCGCTGCTGCTGCCAAGCTGGCAGCCTGAGACAGAGCATAGGAGCTCTGGTAGAACTCTTGAGGCAAAGGTTTTCAACTGAAAGCTGCCCAAGATGTTCTGACTCAGGGGTGAATCCCCTGAGGAAGGGACCTTCATGGGGGTCTTACGCTCCATGATACGACGTGGTGAAGCGAGTTTTGTCCCTGCTACACAGTCCACGGAAGAAGATCCTCGCTTGAAGACGAGTGGGCTTGGATACCCCCTCGTGTGTACTGGCAGAGATCCAACTACAGCTGCTGCATGAGAATGTCCAGGCAAGTAGTTGCAAAGCTGTCTTGAATATTTACTAGAATAAAAATTATTTGTTTCATGGACTGGAAAACCAAGGGTCCTTTCACCCCTTCATCCAGCTCTACAGCTTCAGGTTCCATAGTATGGCCCCCATACGCCTCCCAGCCCAATACCCCACCACACACAACACTTGCACCACTCCCATCCTTCCTTTGATGGCATCATACCTTGTGTGTTTAAGATGCTTTGACATCTCTGAGACTGCAATTGCTGTGTCAAAACTGGTTCACAAGTTCTTAGGGAGCAGGGGCTGACAGATAATCCAAACACAAGGGCATGATTTTCTTGGGACTTCTTACCTGCATGAAATCAGAAACCTTTCTTGTTGTCTGCAGTTACCTCGCACATAGTGTGACAGAAAGCAGCCTCTGAGGCAGTAGTGAGTCTTTTGTGAGCAAATCTTTCCTATTTAGCATCCTCAATGGCTTTGCCACCAACAGTTTAATCACCTTAGAAAGCCATGGATCCCTCTGACAGTAAAGGACACTACCTAGAATTACCTCATCTGCTTCTTCCTGTGGCTATATTGTCAGACATTATCAGCAAATATTTGCTTGTTATAGACTGTCATTGGGGGAAAAAACATGCCAGTCTTCCTGCCTTCCAGGTAACTAATGCTTTGTTGTTTATCCAGCAAAGACCAGGTTGCTCAAATTGTTCTTTCTGTGTATATTGCTCATCCAGACAGGCTGACAAGTGACAAGCTGCACCCACAAGCACAAGTAATTCTGAGTATATAAAGGAGCAAAACCTTTGTATTTCAAATGGCATGAGTTTGTTTTCTCATTGTCCCCATCTGCTTCTTCCCATCTCATGGTTCATACAGAGGGTAGGGTAGGATGAATATTTCTGACAATGAAAAGCCTTACTGTTCCTAAAAGAATAAAACCTCTGCTGTACTTTTAGAAAATGAGGGACTTTGGAGCAGGAAAATTCCATGCATTTCAATCACTCTTTCTCAGGTTCAGTATAAAGTGGTAAAAAGGTTCTACCTAATGCTTTAAGCTTCAAGTGCAAATTCATTTTGAAAATATTAAGAAACATTCTATACTTTTGAGAAAACATCAGACTTGAAAATAGGCAGAAGCCTTTATTTTATTTGGTCAGAGTAAAGAGAAAGGTAGGTGTTCCAACTGAAATGCAGACAGTACCTTCCAACTTTCATACCGCTCTCTGAAAAGCACTGAGGGATCACAGGCTGAGATTGCCGTGTAAAGCTGCAATACAATGTTAAATATGCATTACTAGAAAACAATATTTTCAGTACAGTAATGTGTCTAATGAGTGGTTTAAACATAATTATGAACTATAACAATAATAAATTATACAAGAAATATCAGTTCTTAATTAATGGCCTATTATTTTGGTAAAAGTGCAGCTGCTTTATACTTTAGGTGTATAAATTAAGTCTGTCATAAAGTATGGTTACATTTTTCTAATATTTGAGCATTGTAAAGGAGCCTCCACGGCTAGGTGTTATTTTACTTTTTCTATTCAAATTTAGATACTTTTTTTTAAAGCAGCAGACGAAGTAGGCTCACTCTTAAACAACAGAAACCTTTTATGTTCATATATATGAGACATAAACAACTGAGAATTTGAAGTCTTTCTAGCAATCAGTATTAATATGAATCATGCAGAAAAGTGTCTGAGTCTATTACACACTGTTCCTCTAAACACCAACTGTGTGTTAGAAGAGCTGCTTCAACTGCATTTCGACCTCAAAGTCATTTGCTGAAAGATAAATTATTTTGTTTCAGTCCTTAACAACTAAGAACCAAAAATTTATTTGAAAGTGGTTTGTGCTGGCTTAAATACTGATGATGTTTTCTCAAAAACATGAAAACGCATGTTGTGTCTTTCTCCCATAAGGCTTGGCTTTCTTGTGCTGTAATTCACAGCAACATATAAGCCTTTATTTCTTTTCCTATACAGGGAGTCGTGTAACTCAGAGTGTTTTCCTGTTGTGACTGAGAAGATGAGGAATTATAAAAGACTAACACTACAATTTAACGCTTCAGAGAAACAGTGTATATCATTACTCCTCTGTAGCCAAGCACACTAATTAATATTTATTGCACCTGTCAAACCAGTAGCCGTGGTCAATCCATTGCTGCAGCAGTTCAATGGGAGGCTGGGCACCATATTTCTCCTTGGCAGGCATGTTTAGGTCATCAACAAAGACAAAAGCCCTTTTCCCCAGTGGAGCACTATAAACCTTCTTCTTTCTCCTGCAAAATTAAATCATTAATTTTATTCATGTTAATTTTCATCTTACTTTGAAAAAGCAGCAAAAGAAAGAGAGAGAGAGGAAGAAGAAAAGAAGAGAAGAAAGAAGGGAAATCACACACTTTCAGGGGAGCCTGCCTGACATTATTATTAGAACCGGTTCTTTTGGAATCCATGACCTTTTATTTTTATCAGATGTGCCGTAAAGGTCACAGAAACATGGGGAGGACATAGTTATAAATCCACATGGAATTTAATCAAAGGTGGCACGTTGTTCTGAAGTAAACAAGCTAATAAAACTATTCCAGTTTAAACTAAGAAAAAAAAGGAAAAGAAAAAGCCTTTGTTAAAGACTGTCAACAAAACTCTGATGAACTTGAATGTATCAATGGAATTAATTAGGCAAGAAGGACTATAATAAGCGAATTTTGGTGTTGCACCTACAGTAGGCTCTTTGGCACCCCGAATAAAATGCTTTTATTTCTAGTCCTGCACCTCGTTCCAAAGTATGTTGTGGTGCACAGTGTGCTGCTGGGGAGATGCATTCACTCCAGCTAATTACAAGATAGTGAGAACTTCAAGTAAAGGTAACTACAGAGCAAATTGCTCCAGTTCTGCCTGCCTGTATCCTGATTACACCATGAACACTTGTAACACTGTGAAGTAACAACACGAAGGGAAGAGAGCTGAGGTATGACACCCTGTATTTCTGCATGTACTATGACAACAAATTTTAACTGTAGGCCTGGTTGGGGAGTCAGAAAAAGAACAGTGTGCTCAACTGTGGGTACTATGTAAATTAAGGAGTCAAAAGAAAGATATTGGTTCAACTTTTTCTCAGGCTGGATTTGTGCTTAGTCCCTGGGAAATGTCTAACACACCTAAGACATGGGAGGATCTGGCAATGCAAGGACAGGAGGCAGTGTTGAAATGCCAGCTACCAAGAGCGAAAGTGGTGAAGCAACCTGAAAACCTATTGGCTAGAAGAGGAGTAAAGCATTTGCTGTTTTTGGAGACGAAGCCCAGTCCTTTATGAGTCCTTGAAAACACTGAATCAGATACCAAGACTTATAGAATACATTATGAAATGGTCAGTGAATAGGTGTTTTAATGTTATAGATGTGTATTAATAGCATCATGCTTCTCCCTGCAAAACACCGTGAGCTGGGTTTTCAGTAGATGTACAATACTCAGAGAAATAGATAAATGCTTTGAAAATCTTGCTGGCTGTCTAAATAATTCTTTGAAATAAGAACTGGCTGTCAAAGCTACTAAGGTACATTTGAAAATCACTTTAGCAGTTACATGACTCAACAGATGTCTACATACCTTAGGAAATACAATCCTTTATGATTAGGTATACAAGTACAGATGTATAAATATTTTGTCTCTTACACTAAGGCTTGTTAGTCAGATGGGTCTAGATCCACCAGTAAGATTTAGATCATACCACATAGCTTTTAGGCACTCTGCCTTCTTAAGGAAACCACAGTCCCAAGCTGGATGCTTAAGGCTTCTCCATATAGTGAGAAAAACGGGTTCAAAGCCACCACCTGCCAATGCTTCTATACAAGGACCTTGTCCTCCAGGAGACTGCAAGTATCAGAGCAAGGCAAAATCCCACTTTTTAAAGGAGAGTTGGGCACCCCTCTGCTCTCTTTCCTCATAAGCCCATCTAATGGCTTATTGCTTAATACAAGAAACAGGAACTGTGCCAACCCCAGGAAAATGCCTTGGGTAGGCATTTCTCAGCTCTCCTGAGAAATGGCATAAACCCCTGTCTGGGTGGAGGAGTGTCCTGAGCCTGGGCCCCCAGCTCCCAGGAGGTAGGCATGGGCAGTCAGGGAGCCAGAGTCAGAGCAGGGGAGGCAGTCTGCACATGCTGGGGGTGCTGAAATGAGCACTAAGTGCCGGCATCTGCCTTGTGAGTCTAACCTATATTTCTTGGCTCTTTAATTCCTCTGCAGGGTTTATTACGCGAGGCTGGTGAAATGTATCAAGAACTACACTGTGATCTGACTGTGGAAAGAAGCCATTTTCCCTGTGCAAATAATTATAGAACTAATTCTAGGGTCTTTTGTCAGCTGTCTTGCCTCTCCCTTAAATGCTGTTGGATGGTTGTAGTGCCACAAAATGGGTCCAAATAATACTTGAAATTAATACAGTTTGATTTAGATGACCATTTATTTTATAGCCCTAGTTAAAGTGTCAGGGAGATTTAACAGAAGATAAACTTTGTATTTGGCCCTTTATGCTAAAGTAATTCTAGCAGCTCAAAGCCATGTTTTGAGGGCCTAGCGTTAACAGTATTTTCCATTTTCCCTGACAAATGGACTGTAACTTAGCCATCAGTTAATTACTGACAGATAGAGGCAATATATCAGATACTATTTGTTATCAGAGAATCACATGAATTGGATGCAGAAAAGGCTTCTTATGTCATTCACATCCCTACCAATATGGAGCTGGTTTGTATTCTATATATCTGTACAGTTAATTTTACATGACCTAAGAAATGCTGTCTTCGTTGTTTCTCCTGGAGTCTATTCATTAACAGAAGTTTTTTTTCTAATATGCAGCTTCAATGTTCATTACCTTATTATGCTTCACAATGAACTGAATTCAGTGCTTTCAGCATATAGTCATAATTCTTACCTATCAGCTGGAAGTGTACTCTACCATATGAAAACGTCAGAATTATCATACAGCTACTGCCTGATAAAACATTACTCAAATCCTGTAATGTTTTCAAATCTTGAGTTATTAATAATTTAACATAATTAATTCAAAACACTTCACTCAATGTGAACCAGAGAGAGACGATGGGGAAATGATGCATATTCCATCTTTCAAGGGTGGAATTAAATATGGAAAACAAGGAAAAGATAAAGAGCTGCCAACACTTACTTGGAGTGTAATTCACCTGTTTTGAACTTGCTATAAATTTCACGTTTCTAAGACTTTCAACTAACTTCACAGGCATAAATAAGAAACCTCTTTCCCCTATCACAAGCAAACAATTTAACATGGTTAGAGCTGTCTGTCAGGCATAAGAAGAAAAGAAACAAATTAACAAATGGGGAGATTCTTCTACAAAGGGAAGTAACAATTAAGAAAATGAACATTTAAAATGCAATACAAGGAGATTCCTTCCTCTTTTTGTTAATGCTTATCAACAAAGAGTATTGTATTGCTAATGCTTTTGCTTGATTAAACCTTCTTTAAAAGCATATTGTTGTTGCTCTTTTCATGATGGGGTTGCTTTTTAAAATTTTATTTATTTAAATCAAGGCTGGACCCAACCTTTGTTTTCCTGGTTAGAAATTTGTGTTGTTAGAAAGAACTGCAGGTGCTAAATTATGGCACAATGCACAGCAGCTGCAGAAGTGCACCTGGAAAAAATTAGGCTAGTAATGAAAATTTCACCTGAAAAGTGCCAAATTGGAAGTCTCAGAGATTGAATACTTCCATTAAGCCACCACTCAGGAACAAACCAAGTAATAAATATTGGAACTTTCTCTCTTTACTTTGACCATGAGGACTTATTTCAGGTGTATTTTCCTCTCTATTTGGGGAAAGAAGGGTAGAACACAGAGAAAGCATGTTCATCTCTCATCTCGATTAAATCCCTAGCCAACCTCCACTGCCAATAGAGGTACCAATTAGTGCTAATTGTAGTAGACAATAATAGTGTAGACACCTGTCACTATCTGTTGAGCTGGGACCATCAGTAAATTCACAAAGGCCACCAAAAAAACATCTGGAATAATAATGATTATCATTTTGGTACCCACCCAGCCTGAAATTAAACTGTTGATTCTGAGGTAAAAAGCTGAGCAATGCTTTCCGAAGGTACAATAGTCTAATAAAAATAATGCACACACACATATATATAGTTTTTTATTTCAGAAACACATGAGAAATGTTACAGAACTGGTTACCATAGCAACAGTGCTTCCTGCACTGCATGGACCAACTATCCTCAATATTTTGGAGCATTACAATGGATTCCTGCTTTATAAAAAGAAGTTAAATACTGTCCCCCTGCTCCACGACAGTGGCAGGACCTGTGTGGGTAGAATGATGAACTCCAGTCTGTCCTGATCTCTTCCACAGCTGACACATACATCACTCATGCCCACATAGGTCAGTGTTCAGGTTCTACTATTTCACATGTAATAATGTCATAATTTTTATGTAATATGTCACAACGCGATGAAAGGTAGCCACCTTTCATTCTGACAAAAAGCACGCAGAGTCTGTCAGCTTCAGCACAACAAGGGCAGTTCAAGGGCTGAGCTTGAGCGCTGTTTCCAGGACACCTACCGATTATGTGATGTAAGGCATTCCATTAAATGCTCCCTTCTCTCAAAGTGGTTGTGGGAAAGACAAAACCCCTATGATGTGAATCATGCTAAACCAGCCATTCAGGCACAGGACATGTGCTGCCTGTCTTGAGAAAGGCAACCAGCACCTGTTGGTCTTGGGGGAATTTGTAATTCCTGCAATTATTCTGCGAGCACTCCAGGCACACACTGCAAACACTACTAGAGTGATAACAAGCCCATAAAACACTGAATGGTACAGATTACATGTAAGCATGATAGAGAAAAATTAAATCCATTAAAAATCCCTGCCAGGCTGTGATTAGCTATTATTATTTTTTAATTCATTATAATATACACTGTGCATAAGAGAAAAGCTAACAAATATAAATGAAAGGGAAGTTAATAAACACATTCATTTCCATTTTAACTTAGGCCTTTTGACTGGAATAAACGGAAGTGGTAACTCGTCTAGATGAGTAAGATATGTTCTAAAACCCACTGGGTGAGGGAGCCCTACAGAAATACCAACAGGATGCCATTTGTGCGTGGCTTTTCTTTGGCAAGGGAACTGCCTGCAGTACTCAGAGGAGGTCATCTTTCCTCCCTATGGAACATCTGGACAGCCATGGATTCTCAAACAATTTCCTTGCATTGAAGGAAATGGGGGATTGGGA